GAGGGAGAGAGGGACGGGGTCTGCCTTCCCCGCGGCGAGCGGGCAGGGCCGGTCCAGGCCGCGCTGCCCCGTCGGCACCTCACACCTCCCCTCTCCTTCCCAAGGCTTCACTCAGAAGACGAGGAAGATTCGCTGCGGCCCGGAGGCCGTCTTCGGGGAGGTGAGGGCAAACCGGCGGGGCGTGCGGAGCACCAGGGCTCCTCTGCAGGTGTCATCCATGGGACAGGGATGGGACATGGCAGCATCTCTGTCGATGCCTCGTGGGGCAGGAGGGGGTGACGGGGGGAGCAGGGACAGGGATTGGGCCGGGAGGCGTTCCTCCTAGCATCCATCTTCACCGTCATGTCCCTGAAGCCTCTAAAAGCCCAGCCGTACTGGGTTGGCGGGTGGTTCCTGTCGCTGATCTCCCATCCCTTCCAGATGCCTCTGTGGTTGCCTGGGGAAAGGAGAGAAGGACTGGGGGGCAGGAGGGACCTTTCCTTCTTGCCAGCCGCAAGGCAGCTGGCCAGTTTGGGTGTCAGGTGAATCATGGCCTCGGGGCGCAGCTTTGCGATGTGCCTGAGCCTGATGGCTCCCTGCCCTGGGTGATCGCTTCTCCCTAAGTACCTCTGTACCTTCCCACATCCCGTCTCACCCCACAACCCGCCAGCTCAGGGACCTCAGCAGGCACAAGCATCCTCGTCTTTCCAGGGTGATGATGCTCTGGCTTTTTTAGCAGCCAACCTGCGGCTCTGAGCTGCTGGAGGGGCTCTCACTGCCCTCCCCATCCTTCCTCCATTCTTAGCTGCAGGCTCTGCCCTGGCCAGCAGGAAAGTAACTTCCCACCGCAGCAGCAGCTTTTTGTCATGCTCATTGGTTCGGTCACCTTGCAGAGGAGACCAACCAGCCACCAAACATGGGAAAGTGTGCCTGGGAATGAACTGTCATCTTTTCCTGCTCTGTTTGTTTGTAGCTCTTTCGCTGGCCTCACTATGGAAAGCTTGTCATGGGAGAGATGCTGTCCATTAAAGTTTACAACTGCAGCAAGGTTTTCAGTAACAGGTAGGTCCTTTAGTGACCAGCAGAGGTGGGGGAAGAGACATATTGGGCTTTAAATTTTCTACCTGGAGTAGAAAACGTATGTTGGAAATTTGATGGAAGGAAGACAACCAGGATACAAGTTATAGAAGAGGGATGGAGCTGGTTCTGGTGGGGCAGCAGTGCTGTATATACTAAGTTAAATAAGGGGAATGATTTAGTTGTGCCAGCAGTAACAAAGACTACCTAAGGATCCAGATCAGACCCTTACGTGGGACAAAGGTAAAATAGGGCCCTAAAAAATAGAGCTACAAGGGCAGGACTTGCAGCAGAGTGGGGACCTGCTCTCACCTTGTAGATCCACGTGGTGACCGTGACCATGCTGCACCCAAATTCAACATGCCTGTCAGCGGGGAAAAAGCCCCGAGCCCATGGTAGTATGGTTTAACCTTTAAAAAAGACAGCAATTTAAATTTAAAGGATCAGCCAGAATTTAAAATGCTTCTAGGTGGCACAGACACAATACTGTGAACTCAGCAGCTATTCCAGTAGTTGTAAAACACTTCAGGGAAACCCAAGAGTAGAGGTGACAGATTGAATAGTGGTGGTAGAGCAAGCAAGGGAGCAGAGGCACGTCCTTCCAGGACATGTGAAACATGAGGATGCAGGGAAGGGTGCCAGCTCTGATAAGCAAAATGTAAGAACTGAAGGAAAATCAACAGGAACAACTTTCTAGAGGCAGCTAATAATACAAACCTTTTCAAAGCAATCACAAGCCTGCCAGAGAGGGTGTGGAGGAAACAGATTAATACAGCACACGCAAGACACTTAAAGCCAGAGCAGAAAATGTGGCTGAACTTTATGTCTCTGTTTACTGGATGCTTTCCTTATGGGAGCTGGATCAGAGGAATTGTCTCTGACTGAAATGTCAATAGAAACAGCTATAGGACAAATAGATAAAACAAACAGTAACAAATCACCAGCACCTGATGGCGCTGAGCAAAGAAGTCCAACGGGAAATGGCTGGACTGGCACTGGCAGCATCTATCCACACACCTCCACTGCTGGGGAGCAGAGTAATGGCACGTAACAGGCATTACAGTTTAAAAGCAGTTGGTCAGCACACTGGTATGATCAAAAGTAAATAGAAAGGGAGTGTGGAAGGACAGAAGGGAAAAATTTGTTAGCCACTGTATTGACCTGTGGTCTCTGGACTTCTGCATGTGCAGCCTTTCTGTTGCAGCAGTACTGATCTGGAAAAGCTAGAGAGGAGGGGGAAGCAGAGACTCCTTCCTCGGGGGTAGGAGACTAGCCGGGCTCGTGTCTTAGAGAAGAGGGAGGTGAGAGGGGATATGAGAGATCAGCAGCTCGCAGCTGAAATGGAGGTGACTGGGGAATGATTCTTCCTGTCTCTGTCCTGGGTGTGCAGTGAAACGCTCCATTGGTGGTTTCCAGCAGGCAGCAGGAAGCTCTGCTTCACGCAGGGCTTAGCTCAGCTGCCGGCAGAGCTGCCATGGGGAGATGGCGGCCAGCGTACAAACAGGCTCCAGACAGCAGTAACACAAGGTGGGGTTAGGAGCAGCCGAATGCGACCCCCCATGCGTTACTGCCACTTGCAGGGAGCCAGATGACCCTTTCCCAGGGAGAAGCCCCTTTGGAGTAGGTAAATTTTGGCCTGACTTGCTGCAGACATGCCTGCGGCCATGGCTTTATGTCCTATTTCTGTATTTCCTTGTGTGGAGCCTCTGCTTCCCAGTTTTTTCTGGGAAGAGTCACCCCAGCTCCACCGGGTGCCCAAACACAGGCTGGCTCTGCTGAAGGGGAGAGCTCCCTCACACTCGGTGGGACTGTATCTGGACAAGCCTTTAACCATTGATGGCAGCTTGGTTGCAAGCAGCTGCATGGGTATGACCAGGATGGAGGCATGACCTGCTGCAGGGTCAGTGGGTCTCGGGTATTTCGGCTGCCAGGATCCCTATGGAAAGTGCTGCAGCAGTTCGCTGCCTTCACTGCAGCTTGGAGCGGCTGTGAGCAGGACAGCGGAGATCCTGGTACTCTCTTCCCCCAGGGTGTAGGCACTGATGCTACGTACAGTATTGCTGCAGCCTCTGGTTTTGTTCCAGGCTTCTTGGTACCCTTGTCCTCAGCCTTCAGCACCTGATGACGTCTGGGAGACTGATCCTCCGGGAGGCCCTTGTCGACATGAACCACAGAGTCACTGGTGTAAGTCCTCCATGGGTGGCCTGGCCATCAGCAGTCAGGAAGGCTTTGTTGGAAACCTTGTGTGATGTTTCCCAGGTGGATTTGGGGCTGATGGAGAGTGCAAGGTGCTGCTTTGAGCCTGGGAGCGCTGTGGCATTTGTGACATCTCTGCGCAGGGGTGCAGCCACTTCACACCCATCGAGCGGTTGTAGGAGCACCCAGAAGTGCGTGGGTTGGGCTGGGGGCCCTGGAGACCTGCTGAGGGCCTGGATGAGCAGAAGGAGGCTTAGTAAAACCTCTCCAGGTCTGGGCGATGGATGTAGGAGGTAGCATTTCATCTGCTTCCTGCACCACGCAGCACGTGGGTGTGGGCTGCTGCAGGGTGTGAAGCAGAGGGGAGCTGATGGGGTGAGGCTGAAGGTGGCAGGGTACCTCGGGACCCCCGGTGAGCTTTTGGGTTAAATACCAGTGCTAACCAGATGGCTTAATGATGTGGGCAGTGTGAGCGGCTCTGACACCTGCCTGCTGCTCTGCTCTGTGCTGTGGGTCCCGCTCCCCTCCTGTGCCAGGGCTCATTGGGCCCTTTGTGCTGGTGGAAAATGAATGCGACCCAAAAATGACCTGGTCCCTGCCACCTGGGTGTGCAGGCACGGTTCAGCGAATGCTGGACAACCAGGGCTCAGTGCCAGGGCTGCGGGCAGGGCCGGGAGGAGGAGAGGCAGAGGCAGACTGCCCTGCAATGTGCTGCGCCCCTGTTTGCCCTTCCCATGGGCAACCTGACTCACCCCTGCGGTGGCACTTGGGGATGCAGCTCTGTGGCTTTCCCGTGTTGCTGAGCTGGCTGGATCAGGGAGCAAGTGCATGTGGAAACTGAGCATTTCCAGAATGATTTTTAGCCTGATGCAGCTCACTGCACAAACATTCATGCCAGCAAATGGACAGGGACTAGACTGACCCTCCAGCAGCACTCCATGCTGGTGATGGTTTGAGGGAACTGTGCTAGGGGCACTTACACCGCTGTAAGGTCAGAGCGGCTCTGTGGCCCAACCCTTTGCCCCTGGCTGCCTCTTCACTTGTGCTAACAGCAGCGCTCATGCTGATGAGCCACTCCAACCAAAAACCAACTGCATTTGGTTTTGCCAGGTTGGTTTTGGATTGTTCAGCCCTGGCTGCACAAGGGCTGCGGGGGACAGAAATAGGGCAGGCAAGACTGGACGCCCATCCAAAAGCAGCCTGAGACCCTCTGCCTCAGCTCAGCTGGGAAGAGACACGTTGCCAAGGGAGAGAGGCTGTTTCAACTGCTGCTCCTTTAGCAAAGTGGGAACAAAGCCCTTCCTACTACTCCAATTCCTGTTCTTCTCTGGGACTTGAGTTATTTTCACCTCTTTTCTGCATTTGTGTTGGTTTGAGATCAGGCTGGTCACCTGCAGACCAAGTGTTTTCAGACCCGTGCTGGCTGTGCCGATACCCAACGTGCCCATACTTCTCTGGCTGTCCTTCATTGCTAATGCTAAGTCAGTGTCTCTTGTGATGCAGACTCTGGGTGTGCTTATGGCTTCTGTGGTGTTTTAAACCAAGCTGTCATGCCTGGAGATGCTCTGCCAGCTGTCTCATGCCTCCCACAGAGACCTGGCTCCAAACCCCTGCTCATTAGTTTGCTCTGTTGCAGGGCTCTCCCCACTTTCCTTGTCAAAAGTGCCCCGAGATGGCTCTCAGGGGCCTCTCCGTGGTATATTTTAGATTTGGAAACTTGAGCCAGCTTTTATTCAGTGAATCCTGGAGTTTGGAAAGCTCTAGGGAAGGGAGTTTGATTAACTCTAGCTTGTTGATGGAGGCAGACAAGGAGAGTCTGGTATAAATAGGCTTCTTGTGGGGTTGTGACCCCCTTCCTTCTCCTTCTTTCCACCAGCACGTCACTTCTTTTTTTCTTCCGTGCCACCCTTCCCCTTTTCTGTGACATTTCTGCAGTTGTTTTGTGGCTGCCAAGCTCTCAGGCAGTTTTGTTTTCTGTTTGTAGATCTACATTGAGTTGGATTTGCGCTACCAGCCTCCAAATGGCTCAGCTGGGACCTGGGTTGAAGAGGACTTTGTCTATCAGATGAAAGACAGGTACTGAAATCCTGGGAGGAGCAAATTTCCAGGCAGCTTGTACAGCTGCCATTGCCAGTGGCAGCCTTTGGGATGCAATCCAGCCTCATTTACTCTCCACCTCTGGCCAGGCTGATGCATGTCTGCTCTACAGCAGCAATAAGTGAGCAGGGCTCTTGGAAAGAAAATACCTTGTCTTCACAAAGAGCCTGTGACTGCAACAACCCACTGCACCCTGGGAGTCCTTTCGGACTTGAGAGCATTTCTGCAGCCTTCCTGGCTGATGGGAGCAAGAAACTGGTTGCAAAGTTGCAGAGAGCATGGCTTTGGACTGTAGCAACCCCAGGCACCCTGCACACAGGTGGTGTCCAAAGCCAGGGAACATGTGGGTGTCTGGGCGGACAGGATGACAGGCAGAAGCAGGGTCTGGGGAGTGTCACTTCTGGAGTGCCAGAGGCAAAGCAGCAGGCACACAGGGTGGACAGTGGAAAAGTATCGCTTAGGAGGATGCTCGTGTCCCTGCCAAGAGCCAAGCAGGAGCATGTCTGTGGCACTGTTACTTAAATGCATCAGTGAACAGCCGCAACACACTTGTTTTTTCAGCAAAGCATCTGTTTTTCTTACAGTTCGGAGTTAATCATCCGCAATCCTGGATTTGAGGAGCTGGAGTAAGTAGCCCTATTTGAGTGTATCAGCTCACCCTCCTGGGTGGAGGGGAGTGCACAGTCCGCTCATCAGGGATGACTATGTGGCGCATGATGTGGCGGGGGGTTTGCAGGGCAGCTGAAGGGCCGAGAGCGAGTGAACTGGACAGGAGGGCTGCCACGCTGGGCAGGAAGCTGGCAAAAGGCCTGGAGACTGATGAGGAAGAGGAAGATGAGGAAGAAGATTTCTACGACTTGTCCGAGATGGAGGTCTCGGGCATTGTCTTCAGCCCTGTGAAGAGGTATTCATGGGGTGCTCTTCTCTCTTGCCCCTGCTTGGGCCCTGGGGTGGAAAGTGCCAGCTCATGGGGTGATTTCTAGGGGAATCCTGCATCTCTTGGCATTCTGCTTCTGTGAAATGTCAGAAACCTTCAATCTCCAATGGCCCCAAACAGGGACTGTTGGGGATTTAATCGTTCCCAGGGCAAGGAGCCATGATTTTCCAAGGTTTCAGTTGCCTTGGTGGGGGCTTGCTCAGGTCCATGTAGATGAAGAGATCTGCTCACCCGGGTTGTTTTTCTGTGCAGCCGCTCCAGACTTTGCTCCGCACAGGACCTCTTTGCCACCCCAATCCCGCAGAGCTTCCAGGTACTGCAGCGTTGGGTGCGCGTCCCTGCAGCTGCCTCTGGCCCCGCAGCCGGTCCCTTGCTGCCTTGCTGCAGGCCTGGGCTTCTCCAGTTGCCACATACCCCGGCAAGGCCTCTGGCATGAAGACACCTTCTTGCTTTGTGTGGCTTCCCTGGGCAAGGTGTGAGATTCCCTGAATGGACTACATCCATGAGTGCTGGCTCCAACATCAGCCAGCCCAGAGCAGAATTTCTTTTTGGGCCATGTAGTTAGCTATGGATGTACAGGAGAAGGGAATCAGCCTGACAGCCACATGTGCCACTGCAAAACAGTGCCTGAGCAGAGCTTTGGAAAGCACCCAGGCAGGGCTGGTGCCTGCCAGCTTCCCCAGGGCCTTGCCTGGGCCCCCAGGGAAATCTGTGGGACATGGCTGGGGGTAGAGGGCTGCTGCAGGGGCTTTCTTGGAGGTGCCGGGAGGCTGGTATGAATCTGTGGCTCTGGCCAATGCTCTGACATCAGGTTTATTTGAAACCCCTGTGAAGTTTGGAAATGGAGTTCAGTCCCATCTTTTGCCCTGCAGATTTCAGGGCACGTCTCCCAGCCTGGCTATGGATTTAAATACTTCCCTGGTTCTAAGTAATGGACTCACATTTCAGTCTCCTGCTTTTCAGGGCTGGGTCCTGTCCACCAAGCTTTTGTGGGGGGTGGAATTTCCTACCATCCTTTTCTTGAAGTTATTCACCTTAACAACTGCCTAGTTGCTTGTACTGAGAGCAAATGTTGAGAACATTTCTTCCATGTCTTAGACCCGTAACCAGTCGCAGCAAATGAGACAGCCACATTCCAGTCTTTCCAATGGTGTCCATCTCAGTAGGATTCAAAGAGAAGTATTGACACAAGATACAAAGAGCATCTTCTCCAAGATGCTCTGTGGACCTCACCATGTGGGAGCAGAGGGTTTGCATCCCCTTGGGATCAGGAACTGAGTGGGGACAGTGCTGCTGGGGAGGCCACTCTTGTCAAAGATGCTGGGGATTTAACACTTCATTTCCTTGCTTGTCTGAAAGGAACAAATATCTCAAATACCATTTTGGTTTGTCCTGGCTATAGCAGATTTCATCAGCCATGCTCTTGCCTGCCCCAAGTGTCCGCCCCCACGGCAAGAGGGCCTTGCACATTTGTGTACTGGTATTGCTGAAACAAGCTCAAGATGGAGCTGGAAACGAGGAGAGTGCTGATGCGAGGGTTTTCTCCCACATTTTCTCAGGTTGGGATTAATATCATTGAAGCGCAGAAGCTGGTGGGTGTGAACATTAACCCCTTTGTGGTAGTCAAGGTTGGAGAGGAGAAGCGGCACACGGCGACGCAGAAGTCAACAAACTGCCCCTTCTACAATGAAGTATGTAATATGGACAGAGGATCTGTCCTTGCCCTACCGGTGTCCCAAGTGGCTGGGGCAATCCTTGCAGGGGATGTTCGGGATGCAGCTGCTCTCAGGCAGAGGTGCTTGTGGGGCCATGTTGGGAGCCGGGGGCTCAGCTTTCTTGCTCTTCTCTTTCAGTATTTTTTGTTTGAATTCCATGAGCCAAGGGACATTTTATTCCACAGACTCATAGAGATCTCAGTAAGTATGTCCTCCTCTTTATCCTTCGTTGGTAACTGGTACAGCCCAGCGCTTCTGCATGTGGATGCTGGGAGTGATGGGGAAAGCAAGGGTACCAGTACCAGGCAGGTTTTCCAGCCAGAGGCATCTGCCCCGCAGAGGGACCAAAGGAGCTTCTTGCAGTCACAGTGGGGCAGAGACCTGGCCCTGCTCTGAGCCAGCGCTGAGCAGTGCTGCCTTCCCACCTCCTCTGTGTCAGGTTTTCTCTGCATCCAGTGACTGAAGTGGGGCTGCTGAGGCAGTTTCTTGCCCATTGCCTTGCTGCCCTGCTGTTTTGGGGATGATTCCCTGCTGCCTCTTACCCTGGAGCCTCATCCTGCAGGTTGCGGAGGCAAATGACTGGTGTGAGGGGAGCTCAGCAGTGATTTGTGCTTGTAGAAAAGCCCAGGCAGGCAGAGAGCTGTCTTCAAAAATCCCTTGACCCAAAGCACAGGGACTTCTCCAAGACATGGGGCTTTTCTGAAGACAGCTAAACCCAGCCAGCACCTCCTTTGCCACACGATCTCCAGCACTTTCCCTTTGAAAGGCTGCATGTCTCTTCTGCTGGTGTGGGTTCAGCAAGCACCGAGCAAGGCTTGGGTTTTGGGAGAGACACTAGCCTGATGGAGGCATGGCTCTGTCCTGGCCCAGCAGGATATGGAGGTAGGAGTCCTTGCGGGAAAGCAGGTCTGCCCTTGGTCTGTCGTAGGGGTTTAGCTTATGTGGGGCTGGCAGAAGAAGCTAAATTGGTTGCACATGAATTTGCCTTGGCCCAGGTTTGTCTGAGGACTATGGGCTGGTGGGCTTTGTGGGAATGGTTGGGCAGGAATGGGTTTGTCCCAGGCTAACTCAGACGGGTCAGTGTGCATGAGGAGCTTGCAACCGCTGCCTGAGCTGTGTGTTGGAACGGGCATCTCTTGGTGCTCAGAGGGATTTGTGCTGTTTGCAGGTTTTTCACTCAAAGAAGATACCATTCCTGGGAACGTGCATAGGAACGTTCAAGATGGATGTTGTGACGGTGTACAGCCAGCCAGGTATGACCGACTGTGCTGCATACCTGCTCCCTGACCCCGGCTTTGTCTGAAACTGATGTTTTCTTTGTGCTCTGCTGGGTCTGGTGAGGGCCCTGTCTTTAAAGCACTTAGTTCACGTGAGGACCAGCACTTGCTTCTCCTCCTGGCTGTCTGAGGGCTGGTGACACCTCCTGCACCTTCAGAGGCAGGGTCAGGGCAATCTTTGTGTAGACGTAGTTGGGATGTGCAATGGTAACCTGGGCTCTCCACAGGGAACTCCTTCCCTTCCCTCTCAGATCACAGGTTTTTCCAGAAGTGGGCTGTTATCAGTGACCCCATGGACACGCGGGCAGGCGTGAAAGGCTTTGTGAAGTGCAACATCTCTGTCACTGCACGTGGGGAAGTTGTGGGCTCCCTTCCCACCTCCTCCAGCAGCCAGGATGAGGACATTGAAAGGTAGGTGCAGTGCAGCCTTGCACGGCCCTGGGGAAAACAGTCATGTTTCTCTTCACACTTCCTTTTTTGCCTCATTTTTCCCTCTTCTGATGGGGAAAGACCCAGGGAAACAGATCTGTTGTGGGGAAGGATCCAAAGCTCCAGACCGTCAGT